GGGACCAATCCGCCGTAAGCAAGACGTTGTATGAGTACACTGTACTGTCAGGATAACCTATGCGATTGTCTCCCATACATTTATCTAGCTTTCTACCTTACTGCCTCTACGAGCGTACTCCGAATTGATGTAATCCACTCACCTCGCCTATAGTGACATACAACTTGTCCTTGACATCCAAAATGAGACTGACTGAGGAGCAAATGTACTAGACAACAGGTCGGCGTACAGTAAGTAAACGAACCACGAACCACTTGCCATGTACTTCACAGAAATCCTGGAACCTTCTTTATGACGCACGTCTGCGTGGGAGAACTTCAAATTGCACATGAATGAGTACTAGAAGGTGGGACCGCGACCCACTTGACAAACTGGTTGCGGTGTAGCATGACCTATCAGCATGACTCACATTGTCGTTCCTTTTTCATTTTACAGTTCCGCTCTCTCAAACGGCCTTCTGAGACCTTTCAATCAGCACAATGGGAAGCTTGGTGAATGGGGTGGGAAATGTGGTGACTAAAGGCGAGCTTCGACCATTATTCATGCTCACTTCCTGCCTTCTGCTCGTTAGCAAGCCATGTCAAAGCGAAGCACTGCACTGTTAGAATTCAAACGTACCTTTACCTTGCCGAAGTCCTACAGGCAGCGAACGCTCCACGGTACAACAATGTCTACCAAACATCGTTTTAACGCCTGCAACATGACATGGGTCGGAAGCACGACAGCAGGTGACAGAGGGTGCGGATCGCAAGACGAGAAGGTCAGACACTGGTCAGATAAGAGCCTAGCGACCTCCGCCTGTGCACGATCTTTCGGGAAGGTGTCTAACAATATGGAATTATCTGGAAGCAGAGGGAATCAGCCTGTTGGTGCGATCGAGTGCCGTTGTTGCCAGCCAGTCGCCGGGGCGCCGCCGGGGCCTCCTCAAAATCGACCACCCGAGCCCTGTACCGTGAACCGTGAGCTGCATCTAGTCTCCGTTGCTGACCAAAAAGAGATACTCTTAAGCCGCATCCAATGCGGTGCACGGGTGTTGACCAGTATGATGCATTCGATGACATACCTGTGCTGCGGTAATGCTATTTATCTCCAATAAGTAGAACAGCGCGCAGTCAGCGCGTAAAGTGGCGGCCGCCGTGATGAGTCTACTACATATGGGTGCATCATCTCGAGCAGGTACTTGCTTGGCATGCACAGCCCATGCGGCGAAGTCCTTGTTCTTGAACGTTTGAACGCCAGAGGTAGACCCACGCGCGCTCCATACGTGGGCACACCGTATCTGATAGGTTCTGGATCAGCGCGCGAATCCGTTCGCCGACTCCAAGTCTGCTGCGTCCGGAGTGATCCCATCTCAATTCCGCTGGACTCGGCGTTTCGCGACCGCGAGGCCCAACGTAGCTGGAACAGAAAAGCCGACAACCAAAACGTCAACTTGTCTCGCATGTGGAGCCGGAAGCTTGAGGCCTGAGGACCGTGACAGGGTGCACATGGTCCGACTCTGATTCCGCCTGCCTTCAAGTCACTGATCAAGACCTGCTCAGAACGGCAGGACCAACGACAACTCACTTTACTCCAGCTGTTTGTGGATTCAATATTGTCGCTTGAAACCTTCAAGACCAGCCCGTATTCAAGTTCTGGTAACGTCCGGTCCTATCGTCGATTCTTGGGTTCAGGCTGTCCTTGAACTGGAAGTGGCACTGCTTGTCTCCGAGTCGGTACCGCTGAAATCAGCGCCAGAGTCTGTATGCAGGGATGTAACATTGAAGGTTGATGACAACCACGAACTTGGCTCGGGCATCGGTGCAGGTCTCAGACAAAATATCAGGTGCGTACAGTGACGGCCGGCGATCGGATTCGCAAGTAGCAGCATAGCCGCACAAGTAAGTACGCCGGTACTTACCTACGTTTCGCCAATTAAATAAGACATCCGTAAGGTAGCCGCGGACAGCGGATGTTCATCGCTAATCTGCCTGGTGCTCGTCAAGTCGCGTCAGACTGTCGGGGGACCACAGCTGATCATGACTAGGTTTTGGAGGGTTTTGCCAGATTTTGACTAGTGGGTAAGTAGAGGGAGCTAGAGGAGGAGGAGGAGGACCGTAAGATGCCGGTGGGCGCTAAGTACCTCCTCCTCCGCCGGCGGGGTCGAAGATCCTCCCTGTCTTTTGCCCGATGATCGACCATCGTTCACATTGACAGTTGACGTTGATCCCCGTGCTTTCCGTGTCTTCCGGACTTTGGACATTTACTGGCAATCGGGAGCACAGGTGGGTCAGGACGTTGGACAGCGCGGCGTCGACTTCGGCCACCACTAGTACGTGCCCGAGGCCCACCTCACTAATTCGAAACTCAATGCTTTGTTGTACCAGCTCTTCTGAAGGCGCCGGCGTTGATGCCGCATGCGGGCAACCAAGCGAACAGCTTCGTCACCGGCCCAGTCATGACACGGTCGGATATAAAGGTCAACGGCCGAACATGGGGAGCTTATCGGCATTCTCTACCAGGAATCTATATCGAACCGGGCCCATACAGCTTACAACGACTATCATCCACGTAGTATGTCCGACACGGAAAGCGAAGGGTCGAGCAGCGATCCCTACTCCTCTCGGCCACCCGCTACGAGTAGGCTGTTAGTCATTCATTCCGCATTGTATCCTCTCAAACCTTGCACTGATGCATCATTCGGTCATCGCAGGACCGGGGCATGCATTGGCTGCAAGGCACTCAAGGTATGCTCACCACATTGCACGACAAGGCTATACTGACTCTGGTAGCATCGCTGCGAGTGGATCATTGATGAGGGGATCTGCATGAAGTGCAAGACGACTGGAGCAGACTGCGTTCCCCGTGGACGCAAGAAGCGCCGACCCGCCATGTTAGTACTCCGAGCCTTAATCCTCCTCGGCCGACAGAGACTGATAAGTAGCTGTGTAGGTCTCATGAACAGCTAAGGAAGCGCTCGCTGGCTCAAGACGCCCACATTCAGTCGCTGTTGAGCCAGCTAGATGGGCTGAAGCGGCAATCCGGGATACGGAATTTCGTCGACGAAGCGCAGGCGGAAGCGACCACCATGAGGGCAACACCAAATGGCCTGACTGGTGAGCACCTTTGGTTAGTGAATCGCTGCTGCCGGTACTGATCGGCCCCGGCGCTTGACGTAGTCTACCTCGACGAGGATCCGACCGGTGGCTCACGGTGCGACAGGCCATATAGGCATATCTTTGTATAAGATCCCTGTAGTTAGTGCAAAGTCATCATACATAAATCCCAGTACCCACCGTGGCTTGCTCTCATACATGAGCTGCCACTCGCTCATGTATGAGCGAGGCGCCGTCGGTGGTTACCCGTTATAGCAGCCACGCCCGGGGCCCGGTCGTGGCCCGATCCCGTCGCCCGCGGCGGGGCCTGGGCGGGGCAGCTGATGCGAGGCTGCCCCATATGGATGCACATCGGGGTTACTCATCTGAGATCAGGTACGATCCCTCGCCGCCGTCCTGTGGCGCCGATTTCGGCCAAACCCGGGAGCTCGCAACGAGCTGAGCGAGCGGCGAGCGCTTCCGCCCACCGTTTACGACCTCCACTGGCTCCATCCCGCGTCGGTGACCGACGTCGTGCGCAGCGGGCACGAGGACAGCAAGTAGCCGACGCTGAAATCGAGGTGAGCCCAGACGCACACGAGCGAGCGAACTGACCGTAGCCACAGGACGCGGCGACGTGCGGTACAGCACACTCGTCGACCGCGAGCGCGTAGGGCTAATGCCCCGCGTGGAAACGCAGCCGACGGATGGATGACAGGCACAGGTGCGAGCGCGAGCGGCCGAGCGGACTGGTGGACTGGCGGACGGACGGGCTGGTGGACTGGCGGGCAGGAAGACGGACAGGCAGACCGGCGGGCAGGAAGACGGACGGGCAGACCGGCGGGCAAGAAGACAGGCGTGTAGGAAGACGGACAGAAGAGCGGACGGTTGAGCAACTGAAGCGGACAAGTAGGAGAGCGAGCAGACAGGCAAGTAAATAGGCGACAGCACACGCCCACCGCGAACGCGCCGGGCGAATGCCCGGCACGCAGACACAGCCGACGGATGCACACGCAGATGGGTGAGCAGGCGGGCAGATCGGCGCGCAGGCAGGTGAGCAGACGGACGAGCGGGAGGGCAGGCGGACGAGTGGGAGAGCAAGCGGACGAGCCAGTGGGCGGTCCAGAACGGATAGACAAGCGGACAAGGAGGCGAGCGGGTAGGCAAGGGCACCAGCAGGTGCGCAGGAAAGCGGGTGGATGGGCGAGCGAGAGGGCAGGCGAGCGAGAGGGAGAGCGAGCGAGAGGGAGAACGAGCGAGAGGGAGAGCGAGCGAGAGGGAAAGCGAGCGGGCTCAGAGTGCGGATGAGCACTACACCCACGACGACCGTGAGCGTGCCGGGCGAATGCCCACCACGCAAGTACGGCCGACGAACGGAAGGGAGCAGCATGAGCGAAACGCGGGTGACCACGACGGCGGGCAGAGCAGGTGCGCGCGCAACACACGGGCACAGCGAACGGACAGGGCGACTGTCCTGCTGCTCCTGCATGCAGAAACGGCCGACGGGTTCGTAAAAGACTGTAAATAGAGACCTTGTATGATAGTAAGAATATATCTAATAAGAACGAGTTCAGTATAAATGACGCCGCAACACCCTTTATGACCGAGACTCAGAGAACCAGTACAGTAGTGTAGGTAGACAACCCTACTGTACACGAGAACTTTAGCCTGTGTGCTCTGCTACTGCACCTCATTTGTTGTATTTTATGCAACTACACACGTATCTAACCCCTACTGATCCCTAAGATATGCACACACAGTGCGAAACCGCCCAGAAGGCGAGTCGCAGATATGTCGCGGGCCTAAGTAGGATCTTTAAACGCGTTCTGATTGGTCGAGAACAGCCCGAGCACATCGGGGTTGCCAAATCTGGTGAGACAACAAACAGACACAAATGTTGAGTTCGCGGGCGCCCGCAAGGTTCACCTCACTTTCGCAATGCTACCGTAGCCCTACTACTACTACTCTGCTTTGATGTTCCACTCTGCGCGGAAGACGACAGTGGAGACACCGAGACACGTTCAGGAGTGGATTCAACCAGGTAAGCTTGCTTCACCTGGTCGTCTGTCCACGCCATGCACTAATCAACTACCCACCCCAGACCAACCCTCTCGTTAACGGGTATGTCGGACGGCGTGTCGGCGAGCGTGTCGAATGGCGCGTCCACAAGTAGGACCTAATGTCAATGTGTACGAAGGGATGCACTTAGTGCGGCCTGGCGGAGGCGGAGCTGCGCGACATGATCAACAAGGTCGACGCAGACGGGAACAGCACGATTGACTTCCCCGAGTCCCTCGCGATGATGGCGCACAAGATGCGCGGCACGGACAGCGAGGAGCAGATTAAGGAGGTGCTCAAGGTCTTCGACCAGGACGGCAACGGCTACATCTTCACCGCGGAGCTCAGGCACGTCATGACGAACCTCGGTAAGTGCCCTTGTCTGCCAGTGCGTGGAGGAGTGGCGATGTTGATCATGCGGGTGGTGCACAGACGAGAGCTGTTGGTCAACGAGGTCAACGAGATGATCCGCGAGGCGGATGTCAATGACGGACAAACCACGATGGTGCGTCTTTGCTGTTCGATGCTTTGTTGCCTCTTAACATCCGTGCCATCCTCCTGTCCCGCGCAAAGTTCGTGAGGGTATGCTCACCAAACCATCATCCGTGTTGCCACCATGCTGATCTGTCTCGCAGATGATGCTCTCCAAGTAAAGACATGTACAAGTAGTAGTCCATCTCGTAATATATTTGCGAGCCCCGCCGTATGGTAGTGCATTCGCTTTGCAATGACAGAACCCCTATACATACCTTTTCTGCGTGTGTCCTGGATGTCTCTGCTTTTGAATATACAATCCTTAAGTGTAAGTTGTAGGGTGCGATGTATCATGTATGCGGTGCGTATGTCATGATGCACGACATACTCCATGTTCGGATCATCTCAATATGTACATAGGCACCATCCTAAATGGGTTGTGGCTATATACAGACCTGTCAGATCGAGCTGATCACGGATCACAACTGCATTCGCCCGATCCGTGCCAGCGACAGCACCTAAAGTGGAAGGGCGCGCGATAGGACCTATTTAGGGTCGTCGCGAGCTCTCCCCGACGCCGGGTGGGCTGGGCTGTCCATAAAGGGCAGCTGCCCTTTCGGGAAGCGAGGGGGCGCCGGCTGCAGTGATTACTGCGCCTTCATACATGAAGGGGAACTGTAAGTACTGGGATTTATGTATGACCTGTTTGTGCTAACAACAGGTATTCATACATGAGCATGCCAGCATCTGGTGGGTGCGAACCTGGTGGAGGTGAAGCTATCCCTTCATGCGAGCCGTCCGCAGCAAAGGCAAGGGCGACTGCCTCGTTCTTCCTTCCGTACTACTCAGTCATAGGTCAGTGCGGTGGCACAATGCGCAGGGCAATTGTTGATTGAAGACTGGCTTGTAGATTTTGAGACATTCAAATGTCCGCCAATACTCAAATGTGGCCTTTTCGGACCCGCGGAGGTGACAGCCCTATTCAAATTGTGAGTGCTCACTCTCGGAACCGCGCGGCAACACAACATCTAACTTCGCTGCCACGTCAGATACTTCGATAAACTACATGTAATGGTTTTCTCCGCTTTCAACCACTTACACGAGTTGACCGCCTACCCCCAGCCATCCTTCGCACTGCTAGATCCTGTATTGCACACCCCGGAATATGTCTTGTCAAGATCGTCTCTACTCTTTACGACCGGTCAGTACACCCTGTCTTCTAGGTCACGACGTTGTCTGAATCCATGACCCAGTGCTGTATATTGCGGCGCGGTTATGGACACATCGGCCCAAGCTTTTCAACCTTGCCTGGGCACACGTAGCTGAAAGCGTGAAAGCGGCTGTCACAGAGGGCTCCAGAACGATCGAGACATGTCAGGCTTTCACATTGATGTGTCTCTTCCCTGCCCCTCAGCAAAGGTACTGGAATGACTCACGGGGCCGGATGCTCATGGGGGTCGCCACTCGGTACGCTCGGTGTCTCTTTGACTCCCGCATCATCGTCTGCTTTGCTCACTGCAACCGTAGAATCGCTCAGGATCTCAAGCTGGACGACCCACCACCTGCAGACCTTCCCGAGCGTGAGAAGCTCAACCGCCTCCGGACGTGGTTCCAGATCGTCTCCGTCGACGCAGCGCATGCCATCCAGAAAGGCCAAGCAACAATGATCCAGAGGAACAACTTCACCGCCCAGATGATGGACATATGGTATAAGTGCTCGCCGCTCAACTCGCCGTACGACGTCTACTGCAGTGCCTATGCGGACCTGATGCTGTTTGTGTCGAACTTGTGGGGACCTATGGGGCACACGAGCATGAACTCCCAGGAGGTAGGCAGCTCCGCTCCTCGCCCGGCTTCGTCCAGGATTTCAGTTTTCACTGCAGGATGATGAGGTCATCGAAACCGTACTGGGATATCATCGCAGTGTATGCAACCAGATCGAGGTGTGGAAAAATCGCATTGCTGAGCATCAGAGAGATGCCTCTGGTATGTCTCGGACAACCAGTGTTATTGCGTCGCCAACTGACGATCTCTATGCAGTCGCTGCACATCGCGACCCCAAGTTGGCTTTGTATGTCGTGTCTATGTGTCGTAGAAGCATGGAACTCACAGTGTGCTGCAGTCTCGGACACGCCTTACGCTTGACAGTTTTGGGCGTGGGCTTCCAGCATTCTGTAAAGCGCATGCTTCACCCCAATATGGAGCTGCTCAGTCTTGTTCGTCACTTTGCTCCCTGTCTATGCCTACCCTGTGCTCATATGTGGACACAGGCAATCGATGCGGCACGCCACGTCCTGAAGCTTGACATCGAGCACATATACCCCACGGGTACCTTGCGCTACGTGATCGAGGTTTGTGGCACGTCAACTACTTAGATCGACCCAGCGCTGAAGCCGCATTCCAGCCGCATCACATGTACGTGACGTACTCGGCAGCGTTCCTCATCAACGTAAGTGCAGCCGTTCGTGCAAATATCCTCACAGCTCACCCATCGCAGCTACTGCGCCCCTGCCTGGCTCCTCTGCTTCAAAGCTCTGTCCGTGTGGACATCCTCCGCGAAGTCCGCTCCCTGATCGAGCTTTTCAACTCCAGAGACGTGGCAGTCGACAGGGCCCATCTCGCTGCCGTCTATGCTGCCTTTCTCGAGGCGTTGTTGGACCAAATGACCGCAGGGGAAGGCCTCGCGGACGACCCCGCCGCTCACCCATCAACGCCGACCCAGAGCAACGTTTCGAGGATGCCGGCCGCCGCATCAGCGAACCATGGCAGCTCCAGTCATGTCATAGACATAGAGACGTCGCAAGGCGCCGAGTTCACCTTCGACCGGTTTGTCGTGGACATCACCACACATCAGGAGAGCGCCTATCCTGCGCCGCCCGCTGCGACTTGGCACGGATTCCCTGTGGACGAGGGTACCTGGTGAGAAGGAGGGGGTGCAGGAGGCCACGATTCAGCGCGACCGATGTTGCAGTGATGACTCGGAGAACGCACGAACATATGTATAGCCTTGGATCCACTCCGGGCCGTGTCTCATCATCTGCTCCATATGCATTCGACCCATCTGTCAAATTTTGATTAACCCTGGCATTCCTCGAGGACTGCAGGTATGTAGCTGCAGGTCCGCGGCGCGGGTTCGGTACGCTTGTGGGTGTCTGGTGGAGGTGCTCTCGATATCGGGCTGGCTGAGGGCTCACAGGCTGCAGCGTCGCCGACGCTGTGCTCCATACCACTTACTCGGACCGCATACGGTTCGTCCAATCGTGCGGGCGACGCTATGGGCGGCAGACGCAACTATCGAATTGCCATTTAGGCAAGGCTGCTTTGCGTACGTACATGAGTACAGTGAGGCGAGTCCTAGAGAGCTTGAGCGACCAAATCGATACCGACGATCAACCGACGATATACTTATGAGAGTGGGGTACGTACTAATTATTCGGACTTCTATGACTGGCACGAGCTAATCAGCCCCAGCGCTGTTTCAGGCAATATTATGGCTATAGACTCGGGATGGAGTAGCGTAATACAGCGAGCCCGACGACAACGAAGATTAGTATGCTACACATTAACAAATACACGCGAGTAAGTTCCACACAGCACATCCGCATCACCACCCCATCTGCAAATACGCCTCGTCCATCGCAAACGTCGCCAAGTCGAGCGCGGACTGGTCGAACAGGGGCGGGCACGGGGCGGAGGAGGCCCACCACGTCTGCTCGTCGAGCGGGTTCCCCGCCAGCGCCGGCACGAGCCCAAGCCCAAGCCCGCCCGGCTCGCCGCACGCCTCCGGCACAGGGCCCAGCGCGTTCACGTCCGTCACGAAGTTCTCGAAGCAGAAGTCCGCGCCCTGCCAGAGGTCGCCGCCCGCGCCGCCGTCTACGAAGGGCATCGGGTGCTGCGCGCCGCCGCCCAGCTCGAGCGGCATCCCGGGGAAGTCCCACATGTCCGGCGGGAGCGGGACGTCCTCGGGCCCCAGCTGCGGCGTGCGCGCGAGCTCCTGCCCGTCGACAATGCGGTCGAGGTGCGCGGCGAGGAAGCGCCCGTAGACGGCGGGCGGGTGCGCGCGGTCGAGCGCGACATCCTTGGAGAGATAGACCCCGATGAGCGCGCGCACTTCCTTGAGGATGGTTGTACGAGTTACGGGGTCGAGCAGGGGGGTGTAGTTTGCCTTGAGGAGCTGGGCAAGCTGGGGTAAGTTCGTCAGGGCGCTAGACGAAGAGGCGAGCTACACACGTTGACGAGGAAGGCTGCGGCGTATGTCACGTAGAGGAAGTGCGGCTACGTTACGTTGTTAGACGGGGCCTTCGCTGCAGGTGCGGGAGCCTCACCTCGATGAGGGTCCCGAGGACACCCGCGGGATACAGTTCTTCGATGTGTACGCGCACACACGTCAGCGCGGTCTCGATTGACTAGACAAAAGATGAGCTTCGTGCTACGGGCGCACTGCACAGCATACGCACCAGGCGCAGGATCTCAGGATGGGGCTCCTGCCCGTGCCTGACAGAATAGTGGAAGCCAGCGCCGAGGACGATGAGCTTCATCGCGTTCGCGATCCTGCAACATCCCGTCAGCTTCCCAGCGCATCCGCACCACCCGCTACTCACAGTTTCAACCGCATTTCATGCTGAGGCTGCGCAGTAGCTGCACGGGCACCAGTCAGTCGCGCGCGTCGCGGCGAAGGCGCAGGAAGACGCACCCGACGGATCCTGCGAGCGCTCCGCCTCCCTCTCCCTCCACTCCGCAAACTTCACGACGATCCTCTGGTGGTACTCCAGCACGGTCGCGATCACATCGACGTCCTCCACAACCACACACCGCCATCAGCACCCGCCCCGAACGCACGCGCACGCGGCCGCCGACTCACCTGGACGAGATCCGGGTCGCAGCTGTCCGCGCCGATCGCCTTCCAGAGCTTCGCGACGAGGAGCGCGAGGTCCGTGAACGCGCACAGGTACACATCGTACGGCGAGTTCAGCGGCGAGCAGCGGTACCACGCCGGGAGCGCGCGCGCGACGTA